TTTTTTTTTTTTTTTACGTTTTGATCGATGTGAACGACTCAATGTGACCCGACTGTTTAATGTTTGTCTTTTTAAAAAGTGAATCTGCTTCAGATCACAAACAGGAAAAAACTGTACAAACCACGGAGCGTTTTCCCCTCAGGCCACACCCTCAAATAGTGATGTCACAGCAGGTGTTTTAAACGAGCGCCAAGGCTAACACCTCGCTAACAGCGAGGAGGACGTGGGTCAAAATAATTCCCTGGATGTGTTAATCCAGATCTCACCTAAGAATCGAGTGGGTTTCTTCAAGTCCTGAATCTCCACAAAATTCTATAGAAATCGTTTCATCGAGAAACTAAACTACAGAAACTTAAACCCGACCGGCTCGTCAAAGGTAAAGATGATCAATCTATTAGCAACGAAAACGAGATCCATGAAAAAAAAAAAACAAACACACCTGCTTTTGCATCACTGCATCGAAAAGTAAACAAATTAAACTCGTCCTGTGATTTATTATTATTGATTTTCTGTTCAGACGTGTTGAACTGCAGGAAACACACGGTCTCTAAACGTCATGTGACCGTGCAGAAACGTCAACTCTGGTCCCATCGCAGCCAGAGTGTGTGTGAGTGTGTGTGAGTGTGTGTTTGTGTGTGTGTGTGTGCACGTTCCTGTGGTGAACAGTTTTCTCCTGATCAGCAATATATATGTATCGGTACAGATTTGTCACTGGAAGAGGTTTTATTTTGATTCCGACATGCTCGTGTTTTTAGTAACTTAACTGCGTTAAAAAGGAAAAATGATCACTGGGATGTGGATGAAATGTTTCGTCATGAAATGACACCACATGTCAGTGTGAACGTGACCAAACAGGATCTGAAGCTGTTCTGAAACTGGCTCAGGAACAGGACACAGCTCTTTCTGCTCAAGTTAAAAAGACGTTTGTTGTTTTCGTTTGTTTTAAACTGGATTCTTACAGCTCGTCTCTTGTCATTGTACTTGGCCAGCTGCTGTAACGAGAAGACAAAACTAACGAGATGCAAGGTGGAAGTATTCCAGTATCTGAAAAGTATTTATAGAATATATACAGCTTTGGCAATATAAATAAAAGTTGTCCCAAATGAAGCTCAGTGGATTCATCGTGCTTTTTACGAGGAAAGAGAAAGACGGAGGACTCAAAACCTCAAACCAGGAACAAAGAGTTTTCTTCAATTCAATCAAATCTCATTTAAATAAACCAGAATTTTTTTTTTCATTAAGATCTAGAAAACTATAAAAAAAAAAAACTGCAGCTGGGAAACCAGTGTCATTTCCATCTACGTGCATTTTAATCCAGATTCATAAGATAATTTGATCCCCGAGACCTACAGGTTGTTTTTGCCAAATTCCAAGATATTTTGAAGAGATCGTGTTCACAAAACAAGAAAAGTGCTTTGTCGACCTTTGACCACAGAAGTCAGCTCATCCTCGACTTCAAGAGAAAGTTTGTTTGTGAAAACGATCCAGGGAATTTCTTTTTAATTTGGAACAGACGGACCTGGAGGTGGAAATACGTTCCATCATCATCATCATCATCATCATCGTCCTGGTGACAAACAGATGAGGGACAACATTAAATTCCTTTCAGCTTCATGATGTTTATTCAAACGAGCGACGCTGCAGTTTACAAACAATCGTAGGAAACAAAAGGAGCCACAGACGATGAACTGTCAATCAAACTGAAGCACGGCTGACTTCCTGTTGTTGCCATGGAGACTACATTCTCAATGTCAATGACTCAAGGACAAATTTAAGATTTTAA